GAGTATATTAAAAAAAAAAAAAAAGAATTATTATTATTATTTTTTAAAACTGGTACGTCGGCAAGTTTTTAATTATTAATTTTTTTTTTTTTTTTGTGATTTATTTATTTATTGTTTTTTTTTTTTTTAAAAAAGAAAATTTCTGGGTAATTTTGAATTTGTTCAAAAGGCCGGTCGGTTAATTATAATTTTTTGACGGTTGAATTTGAAAAAAGGAACGCGGAGTAGTCAGTCGGTTCGTAAACGTTCCATTCGATTTCGGTTATTTTTGAAAAATTTTCGAACGCGCGCGCATAAATTTTTTAATTTAATATAATTTTTTATTTTATTTTATTTATTTAAATCGCGTATTACGCGTTCGAATGAAGTGAATGATAATGATAATTATTACGTGTATTTATCGGAACGGATTTTTATATTGTTTTCGATATTTTTAAATATAAAAAAAAAGAAAGAAAATTTGAAAATTCGTTGTTGGTCTTTTATGGAATAAGAAAAAAAATGGACGCGTGGGTCGAAACGATGTGTAAAAATTTAATTAAATTTTTTTTTTTTTTTTTAAATTTAGTAGTGGCAGTAAATTACTTTATCACAAGTTAAAGTGAACATCAATAATTAAATATTAACGACAATAAAAAACGTTTTTCTCACAATCTACATATTGCGTCGTTTGTTGTTTTAAAATCGGAAAAAGAAAAAAATTTACTTATAAATCATTATTTTTATTATTAATAAGGTAAGTTTATTATGTTTGACATACATTTTATTGATATTATTATTATTATTATTATCATCATTACGCGAACGAATCGTTATTATTATTTACTAACAGCGAAAAAAAAAAAAGAAAATTTCACGCCGCCAAAAAAAAAATGTCGGCGTCATTTATTTCTTATTTTTTTTTTTTTTTTTTTTTTTTTTACGCCAACATCAGAAATAATTTTTATTTTTAAATATTGTGCTAAAATAAGAAATAAAAAAAAAAATTACTGGTAAAAAATATTATTATTATTATCGGTTGCGAGAATGAGAGGAAAAGAAATCTCGCGGGGAATTTCGCGAGACATTTTGAAAACGGTTAACGGTTTTTTTTTTTTTTTTTTTTTAATAATCGGGTATTACGGGAAGAAATTAAATATGAAAAAAACAAAAATCAGGGTCAAACTGGAATTGTAAAAAAAAAAAAAAGAAAGAAAAAACATTGCGTGAAAACGTGTATACACGAAAGTTGTTTTTTTTTTTTTTTTTTTTTAAATCGAACACTTGTACGTAACAAATGTGTTTTCGCCATGATGATTATATTAATTAATCCGTTTCTTTTTGCTTTTATTATCATCATCATCATCATCATCATAGTCGTCGTCGTTGTCGTTGTCGCCGCCATCTTTGTTTTCTCGTTTTTCATCGATTGTTGTAAAAATTTATTATTATCTCTGTTTGCGATCAAAGTGAAAAATTATAATATTTGATAATAATAATAATGGTCGTGTAAGAATAATTTTTTTGTTTTTGGGCAAGGTTTGACCTTGGATTGTACGGGATGACCTTGAAAATGTGTTAAAAACGTTTTCTATATTTGTCAAAAAGCTTTGCAACTTGATGAAAAAAAAAAAAAAAATTTTTTTTCTTTTTTTTTTCTTCCATTTTTATTTATTACTTATTTATTATTGATTTTTTAATTTGTCCTCGTTCGTTTTCCGTTATTTTAAATCGATTACGCGGTTTTTTTTTTTTTTTGTTTTTGGAAATTGTATTATAATGATCGAGGCGATGATCACACGATGACAAATTTTTAGGTTTTTATTTTTTTTTTTTAATAAACAATCCGAACCTGATTTTCGGTCGGCCATATTTGATCTATTGTTTGTTGTCGTTTTAATTCGCGGTTCGCGTGATTGCATAATTTACGACACGAAATGATTGATTGATTGATTGATTGATTAAAATTCTAGAATGTTATATTAAATCGAGTTACGGGGGAAAAAAAAATTGGAAATAATCGAAAAAAATTTTTTTTTTCGTGGAATTAGAAAAGGATAAAGAAAGGAACGGGGGGGAGGGGGTTTGATTTTAATTTTTTTTTTTAATCGTTATTAATAATAAGAATGATGATGATGATAATATTATTATTATTATTAAAAAAAGGAAAATTGTAACGTGTACAAAAAAAAATTGTTTTTTTTTTTATATTTTTTTTTTTAAAGAATTATTTCGTGTCAGCAGTTTTACGTATTAATAGTTTTAAAGTAAATGACATTTTATATTTTTGACCTAAAATCAATAAAAAAAAAAAAAAAAATCGCGTTAAAAAAAAAGAAAAAAAAACGCATTCGTATAATTATTATTTACGACGGTATAAATAATAATGATGATAATAATAATAATAATAATGAATAAAAATAAATCGAAATTTTTTTTTCTTTTGTTTTGTTTTTTTTTTTTACGGGTTTTTAATTATGGAGTTATGTGTTGATAACCTTCAAAAATAATCGACTATTATTTAACATCATTTTTTTTTTCTTTTTATTACCTCGCGAAAAAATGCCTTAAATCTCATTATTATTATTATTTTCCGCGGAAAAAGAAAATTTGGTTTGTTTGGAAGAGAGAGAGAGAGAGAGAGAGAAAGCAGGAAAAGTTGGGAAAAGTTTTTCACGCTTGGGATAATAATAAAATTAGAAGAGGTACACCAATCAATCGATAATTAAATCGTAAAAATAATAATAATAATCGATACGTGATCGATTGTCATCATTATCGTCATCGTCGATTGTAAAGACGTTCCATTGTTTTTAATAATAATAATAATAATAAAAATATCATCGTTAATTGCATTTTTTTTTTTTTTTATTTTTCACGTCTTTCCGTTTGTTATTGTTGTTGTGTTTGTTGTTGTTTAATGTCTTTTAATTTTCATTTCGTTTCGTCGCGTTTACCTCCTGTCATGTCGCACGCCGCAGATAATAATAATAATAATAATAATAATAAAAACGTCTCGAACGTTTCTCATATATAGAAATAATTGTTCGAATCGGCTTTCATTCCGTTTACAATAAATTATTTGTCGTGACTTTTTATTATTATTATTATTATTATCATTATTTTTAATAACATTTGAAATTAATATTTACGATTCGAGACAACGTGATAATAATAATAATAATTATAATAATTGCATTCGTGTTAATTCCACGTATATGCATTGCGTTGTATGTATATTTCGGTCATTCAAATTTCCTTTCACGCAATCCGATTTTAAATAAAAATAATGATGATGATGATGATGATGATGATAATTTAAACGTGACGATTGAATTTGCAAAAAAAAAAAAAGAAAAAATCATTTGGGATAGGTCAAGAAATTTTTGCGTGGGTTTGTTAAAGTGAAAAAAAAAAAAAAAAATGATGATGATAATAATAAAAAGTGTTTGTTTGAGGTTTATTATTATTATTATTATTGTTTTGGTTGGTAATATTTTATGGAATACGAAAGAAAAAAAAAAGTTAACAAACCGCCAATTGGATGTTATTCAAAAAATAATAATAATAATTTTTTAGGTTCGTGATTGACACGTAAATAATGAAGGGAATAAAAAAAAAAAAATTTGAACGGTTGATTTTGATAATAATAATAATAATTATTATTATTATTTCGGTTCGGGGTCATTGAAAAAAAAAAAAAAACGTTACAATGACCTTTATATATATATATCGTTGTCGTAATTTGTATTTTGCGGATTTTGCATGATTGCCGCCTTTCCCGCCCCCGCCCCCCTCGAAAATGTAAATTTTTTTTTTTTTGGAAAATTAACGATTTTTCTAACATTTTGTTTTCCAGATCAGTTTGGAAAAACAGCAAAAAAAATCCCGATTTTCTTTTTTCCCTCTCATCACATCCCATATTCCGATCCTTTTTCAACCAAAAAAAAGTAACCGTTTTTCATTATTAAGCCGCCGGAAGTAAAAATAATAATAATTTTTTAATGATACCATAAGAAAAAACCAAAAAACCTAATAAAATCGTTGAAACTTTTCGTCCGTTTAACAAACAAACAAACAAACAAACAAACGAAAAAATTGCGAGAGAGTAAAAAATAATAACAAAAAAAACAAATACAAAACCAAAATGTTTAGATAACGAGGGTTAAATTTTTCGTATAAAAGATTTAGTAAAATCAACCCTTCAAAGGGTAGCATGAATAGTAGGCCTAATATTTTAGGCCTACCAACAAAAAAAAAATAAAAGTTTTTTTTTTTTTTTTTTATACGCATACATAATTTATATTTTGTTTTTTATTATTATTATTATTATTATTTATTTTATCGTATCGCACCAATAATATAAATACAACATAAATTGTATTATTATTATTGATTGATTGATTGATTGATTATTTATTATTATTATTATTATTATCGAAATTTGTTTAGTTTAGTAGGTGGTAGTAGTAGAGTTTTACAATTTAAAAATTAATTAATTTTCTTGTTGTTGAATTTTGTTTCCATCGAATTTTTTTTTTTTTCATTTTTTTTTAAATAATTGTCTTAAATTTATATAAATAAATAAATAAATAAAAAGTTTAGTTTTTAATAATTTAATTATTATAAATAAATAAATAAAAAAATCTGTGATAAGTATTTAAAATACATACATATATACATAAATAGATAAGATAGGTGAGTTTAAAAAAAAAAATTTTTTTTAAATTGTTTGTTTGATCAATTTAATATTTTAACGCGCGCAAATTTAAAAAAAAAAAAAAACAAAAAAAATTAAATTTTTTAATAGGGAAATGATTATTATTATTATTATTAATATTATTAGTATTACTATTAACATTCGCAATAATATATTTTTACTTGACGGCTTAAATTAATTGATTTTCTCCCTACTGTTATTATTATTATCATTATCACTTTTTTTTTTGTAATTAATTAATCCTTTACCTTTAATCTTTACCTGTTTTTAAAAAAAAAAACCTTTTTATACAAAAACCAAAATGGATGCGATAACAACGTACACGATTGAAAAATATTCTCCAGAATTATTATGGATCGTCATAGTTGGATTCCTCGTTGCTTTTATACTCGCGTTTGGAATCGGAGCCAACGATGTTGCCAACAGTTTCGGTACGAGCGTCGGATCAAAAGTCCTCACGATAAGGCAAGCCTGCATATTGGCGACAATTTTCGAAATACTCGGAGCCGTTCTAATAGGTAATAAAAATAATCATGTTTATCATATTATCATTATTATTATTATTTTGTTTTTTTTTTTAAAGGGTATAAAGTGTCGGATACGGTTAGAAAGGGTATTTTCGATTTGACAATGTATAGAAATTGCGAAAAAGAACTCATGTTGGGATTTTTGTCGTCGTTGTTCGGGAGCGCAGCACTTCTCATCGGTGCGACATTTTTCAAAATGCCCGTTTCCGGTACGCACAGCGTTGTCGGTTCGACTGTGGGTTTTTCGTTGGTTCTCAAAGGATTTCAAGGGATTAGTTGGAACACTCTTTTGACGATAGGTAAAAGTTGTGTGTGTGTAGGCGTGCCAACGTGACGATTTATTTATTTACTTTATTTTTTATTTTTCAAATAGTGGCTTCTTGGTTCGTCTCTCCGGTACTGTCTGGAACCATTTCGGTGGTTTTGTTTCTCGTCATAAGGAAATTCATTCTTCAAACGTCGAATCCTTTGAAACACTCTGTTCGTTCTTTGCCTTTTTTTTACGGTTTCACAATTTTCATCAATGTTTTTTCGATCATTCACGACGGACCCGAACGTAAATAAGTTTTTACCTTTGTAGTTTCCCCCCCCCCCCCCGGGAACGTTACTCACGTTCGTTTTTCCGTTTTTTAATTTCAGTTCTTTACATGCACGATATCGAACTTTGGGTCGTGTTAACCGTGAGCGTCGCCCTAGGGATACTCACAGGTCTTGCCGTTCAATTTTTCTTTGCTCCCTATTTGAAAAAGAAAATCTTATTGGAATCGGATCCGATGAAACTTCAACCGGGTTCAAAGGTCAATTTTTCGTGTGGAGATACGGGTAAGATGAATTATTATTATTATTATTATTTTCTGAATAATTTCACTTTTTTCCGGGTGGATAATTAATAACGGTTTTTTTCGTAGATGAATCGTCGAGAGAATCGAGTCCTCAAAAATCTCGTCCCGTGTCGATAATCGTGGAACAAGAAAAAAATAATTCTGTGATGGCGAAAGAGTTGTCGGATTTTTCGAAAACGAATTCGGATGTCGCTTTGCAACAGAATGGAAAGACGAAAAATTTTCAAAGTTTTTTCCGAAAGGGAATTCTCAGGATAAAGGGAGAGAATTGTTTGGATCAACGGGATCATACGCAGAAATACACGACGAAACCTTCTTTCACTGTCGGAGAAACGAATTTGGGAGTGAATATGAATCCCAATTTGGGTTCAAATAGCTTACCTTCAAGCGGACAGGTGACTCCCTCGACAGGTAAGGTTTTGACATTATCATTATCATTATTATTATTTTCTCTCCCACTTAAAATGCCTATAAAAAATGGGTGGTAAAGTTAATTTTTTTTTTCTTTTTTTTTGGTTTTTTGTGCAAAGATAAAAAAAATTTTTTTTTTTTTTTTTTTTTTGTAACGTTCGAGAAAGGTTCGATTTCGTGTAAACCTTGAACCTAATCCGTTAAAAATATGTACAGGGAAAAAAAAAACGGACCAGGTTGCAACGGACACCTGGTCTGGTATCGTTCGATCGTTAAACGATGATGATAAAAAAAAAAAAAAAAAAAAAAAAAAAAACAAATTTTCATATCGAAAATTTGACACCGAATAATTATTATTATTATTATCATCATCATTATTATTATTACTTTTTACCTGCATTTTTTTGCTTACTCGCGTATTTTTTTTTTTTTGCGCCTTTTAAAAATATTTCAAAACTCCTCGAATAATAAACGCTTACGCATGACGATATGAAATTAATTTTTTTTTTTTTTTTTTTTTTTTTTTTTTTTACGTTTCGAACGTGCGACAAAAATAATGATGATGATGATGATGATGATGATAATCATAATGATGATGATCATTATTTGTCGAACGCGACACGAAATTTATTTATTTATTTATTTATTTATTTTTTTTTTTTTATCTTTGCTCATTTGATACGCAACATTTATATTTTTTTTTATATTATCATTATCATTAAACGTATTTCGATGTTGGAAAATGACGTTGAAATAACAATAATAATAATAATTTTATAATGTTGTTTTTTCATATGCGAATTCGTTCCGCGATTTAAACACACATATAAATGTTGCTCAATTAGTCGCCCCCTATGAGATGCCATGTTTGTTTTTATTGTTTACAGGATTGACCCCCAACAGCAGCGCAGTACCACTTGTTAGATCTAAGGACACCAAGCATGTGAATTCGGTAATAACTTTAATACAACAAACAACAACAACAAACAACAAACAACAACAGCAAAAAAAAAATTCTTTTTTTTTTTTTTTAAATTTTTTTTATTTATTTATTTCGATGGCTTATTTATTTATTTATCATTATTATTATTATTATTACTAATTAACGCCTGGGGGACGTTTTGCCCCGCCCCCTTCCCCCGAGTAGGCGGTAACAAAAGCAGGAGGTAGGAAAAAGGAAGGGGCAAAACAAAACGAAGGGTTTATAATGAAAAATATTATTATTATTATTATTAGTCACTGGAATTCCCCTTTTGAACTTTCTTATAATTGTATGGAATTAAAAAAAAAATTTTCTTTTTTCAAGGTTTTTAGTATTATTATTATTATTATTAAGAGTGCCCCCCCTCTTTTTGCGGGTTAAAAAAACATTTATTATTATCATTATCATTTCAGTTTATTAATCAATTTTTTTTTTTTTTTTTCTATTTTTGTATTTTCAGGTTTCGCCGGCGGAAGACAAAGCGATATCCCAAGATGATCCTCCGGAAGTGAGCAGATTGTTTTCATTTTTACAAATTTTAACGGCGACATTCGGATCGTTTGCACACGGCGGAAATGACGTCAGGTGATCATCATCATAATTATTATTATTTTAGTTTTCCTAATCCCTTCGAATAATCGTTATTTACTTTTGTCTTTTTTTTGTTGTCAGCAATGCGATCGGACCTTTGATTGCTCTGTTTCTCATTTACACGAACGGGGAAGTGGATTCAAAAGCTCAAACGCCGATATACATACTCTTGTACGGAGGAATCGGGATTTCCATAGGGTTGTGGCTTTGGGGTAGAAGAGTCATAGAAACGATCGGTGAAGATTTGACGAAAATAACTGCTTCCACGTACGTTTACTCTCTCTCTCTCTCACACGCTACTCCCACGTGCCTAGATGAAATCTTAATTGTTTGTATTAAATTTTTTTTTAATTTAGGGGATTCACGATCGAAATCGGAGCTGCTTTCACCGTTTTAATGGCGTCGAAAATCGGTTTGCCCATATCGACGACCCATTGTAAAGTCGGTTCGGTTGTTTTCGTCGGTTGGGCGAGTTCGTCGAAAAGCGGAGTCGATTGGAAAGTTTTCAGGTTTGCCAATTGTTTTTAACATTTTTTTTTTTCTCTTCCCCGAGGTGATGACGTCATAGAGTATATAAAATTTTCCTTTTTTAGAAATATAATATCGGCTTGGGTTATAACGGTACCTTTGTCGGCGGGTTTGAGTGCTGCTTTCATGGCTTTTTTTAGAGCCGTCGCTACGTAATCGGAATTTTCAAAAAAAAAAAAAAAAAAGTAGTTGATAATAATAATAATAATAATATAGATATACTTACGATGAATAGAGAAAATTTTTTTTTTTTTATTTACGTTTGGCTTTGTCGGCGGTTACAGTGCCGGCGATGGCGATGGCGGCCATGATGAAAGCCGGACATTTTTTATTATTATTATTATTATTATTATTTTAAGGTTCTTCAATTTTTATAATAATAATAATTTTCAAGTTTTTGCCACGTGTATTATTATTACGTTTTGAAATGAAATTAATAACGGAAACGCACCCGTTTCTTTCTTTTTTTTCTTCTGCTTTTTTTTTTCGGGGGGAGGGAGGGGGGAGGGGAGGAGAAAACTCCGTCCTTATTTTTATTACGTTTTCTTATTTTTTATTTTTTTTTTTTTGTTTAAAAATGAAATTAAATTATTGTTGGAACGCGCTAATTCGTTATAAATATATTATAATCTGTGATTGTTGGTTATTTTTTAATATAATCCATTTATTATTATTATTATTATTATTATTATTATTTTATAAAAAGAAAATTTTTTTGCCGGTTAAAATTGAATCGTTTAATTGTTTTTTTTTTTGAAAACTGTTATTATTATTATTATTAGTTTTGAGTTTATAAATAAATAAATAAATAAAATATTCGAATTTTATTAATTTTGTTTGTTTTGTTTGTTCGTTTGTTTGTTTTCTTCTCAACGATTTCTCCTTATGGTAAAAAAATAATTACAAAGAGTTTTTTTTTTATTTTATTAAAAAATTAATTAATAATAATAATAATAATGATAAAAAGCTGGAACATTTTTTTATCGTGATCGATTAATCGATTGATTATCGATCGATTATATCGATATTTTTTTATCGTCGATGTATACGCACAACAAACACAAATTTGGTTTTTCGTTTGTTTGTTTTTCTGTTTGTTCTACTTCCAGTTTTTATTTTCTCTGTTATAAACTAATTTTCCGGTTAATTCGTTTATACGAGCTTCGTTAACTTCCGTTCTTTTACATTCCTCGGGAACTTTTCCGGTTAGATCGGGACATTCGTAACATTTATCAGGTAGTTTTTTCGGTGGTTCGTATTCAACTTCCGTTTCTTCTTCTTCGTTTATACAGGGTCGGATTTTGGTAGGTTTAGCATAAGGATCGGATATGCACCTAAATTGGGGGAGGGGGGAGGAGGAAGTGGGAGGAGAAAAAAAATCATTATTATTATTATTATTATTTACTATAGTTTGATATATTTTAAATGTTTGTTTGTTTGTTTACTCTTTGGTCGTTGGGAATTCTTCCGGGTTTAATATTGATTTTGCTATTGTTCCAATATCGTCGGATAATAATTTTTGTGCCGTCAAATAATTTCTAACCGTTTCGATAACTTCCAATTTGAATTTTTCCGGATTTGCTTCCATGTACCTGTAAACTTGTAAATCAGCTCCGGTGATTTCAAATTTGTGTTTAAATATCGATATGACAGCACCTGAAAGAAATAAAATGTTATTTTAGTCAAAATAAAGAAACCACGATTGTTACGTTAATTAAATAAATGTAATATACCGATGTAAAAATCGCTCGGGCTATAATATTCGGGATAATCGGGATGACTTCCAGGTTTTGGTACGAGCATTGAACTTAAAAATTTTCCACCCATGTGACCTGAATTACGAACTTGCGGTTCGGTTATTTTAATAGTGCTATCGGCTAACGAATAATAAATAATAAATTGTCTTCCTTCGTCTTCCGGATGCATTGATTTTAATTTTGCCGTGTATCTAAGATATTTATTCATGTTAATTATTAATTTAATAACGTCTTTTTTCGGTTCTTTCGGCATGTAATTCAAACAAGATCCCAATGAATCCTCTAATGAACCGAATCCCGTGTGAGGCGGTGGTGGTTCCGGTAATTTTGGTTTATCTTCTTCTTCCACGTCGAAATTATCCGGCTGTTGACAAAAATGTCGTCATCGTTTTACAATAAATAATAATAATTTAAAATAATTTTTTGTAGAATATTTACTTGTGTTATGTTGAGTGCTCTGCGAAAATAATTTCGTGTATCTTCATCGCATTTATGTAAAAGCATTCGTCTACCAAAAACGAAAATTGTTTCTCCTATAATTAAATCCATCGGTTTGTAATATTCTGTGACTTCCGCATCGCTTTTTTCCAAATAAATTGATGGATAAGTTGCTAAAATTACAAAAAAAAAAACGGGGAGTGCGGGGGGTCAAATAAAGAAAAAGTTATGATTTTTTATAATAATAAATATAATAATAACATTACCAGGAACTTCCGTCCAATTTTTAGGAAGTTTAGTTCTTTTTAACAATAACGGAAATGGATCCTTTCCATCATTGGGTTCGTGAACTTCAATAACTTCCACGGTATCATCTTCTAAATAATATTTAATCACGTAAGGATCTAAGGATCCTCCTGAATCACGATTATCCCAAACTGCTCGATACCTTAATACTCTCCCTTCAAATTCTAAAAATCTCCTAAATTTATCTATTGTAACGGCCGTTTTTGGTGGAGCTTTACTTTTAACTTTTCTCATTTGTGTGTAAGGATCCGGAGGCATACATTCTGGATTATTTAATTCCACTCCTTGAGATAAAAGGAATTCTTTTGTAAACAAATCACAATCAATTATGTGGAAAACGATTCCACCAATGGCCATATCAATTCCTATATTAAAATCTTTCCAGTGTAAGTATACTCCATTTTCATGACCGTATTTAGGTATTCTACCTTTTCGAATTAACTTTCCTTGAACTATTCCAGAGTCCTGTAAAATTAATAATAATATAAATGAACGTGGTTGTTTTTTTTTTTTTTAAAGAAAAAAAGTTGTCCATTGATTTTTTTCTCACTCTAACTGGAGGTTCCATTACGGTTATTTTATCATCATCTAAAAAATAAATTATATTCACGTATCTAACTCTGTAATTTTCATCGGGACTATTGTAAACAGGTTGTTTAAAAAAAGCTCTAAACGTAAGACATTTTTTATCATATACAACAAAATGGGGTCGAAATGCTGGACATGGATATTCTTTTGCACGTCCGTATGTAAGACAAGGATCGTACCTAGAAAATATTTATATATATATTAACATGAGATATATAAAATGTAATAAAAATATAAAAAATATATTGTTTTTTAAATGTGCTCACACAACGGTATCATTTTCTATATCCAAATATCGAAGAGAATCGACGTCTCTCGGGTATTTTCCTGGAGCTGGAGCATAATGTTTCATATACCTTCCACCTTGCTTAAATTCGAAAAATTGACTTCTGTGAAATTTAGATTTTGTAGGATCTTGAAAGGAAAGACCAGGAAGAAGTGGAAGTCCTTCATAGTCTTGCTCTTCCATTGCTTAGTTGAAATTTTTAACGCGGAAACAAATTACAAAAGTAGTGTTTACGCGTTGCAAGGCAACCGCCATTTTTTTAAACTCTCGACAAAATTTTAATGCCACGACCATGTCGGTGGTTAAAATTATCATTCATTAAATTTAGTTTTTAAGTTTTTAAATTATTAATTTTGCATTTTTTTCAATACAATTTTTAATAAAACAAAATGAATACATAAGTTGTTAAATATTTATTTAGTTTAAAATTTTTATATGGAAATAATATGGCGGCTCTTTTAAAAAAAAGAGCTTTAGCTGAATTTACTCAAGCTATAAAAACAGAGGTTGAAGTAAGTATTCATTTTCGTTATATTTTCTAATTTAATTCTGAATTAAATTTGTCTTCAATTTAAAATTTCTTGAACTGTTATCAATAACTTTCACTAATAAAGATTATCGTTAGGTTTCTTAAAAAAAAAAAAAAAAAAAAAAACTTGCCATTAATTCAAACTAAATTTAAAATTTTTTTAATAATTTAAAAAGCATTTTTTTGTTTAAAAATTATGATATTGCAGGATGACTACATACCATTAAAAAAATTAAAATTACCTAAAAAACAATGGAACGTTGCAAGTTCAGGCAGTGCCTTTATTGGTATGCTTTCCAAATGTAAAACTTCCAACGAAGCTCTTCAATTACTTTTGCGAGTATCAGAAACTGCTGTTAGCATACAATGCTCTGATATACCAGAAGCGATAAAAAAACTAGTCGAACATTTGCAAGTAGAAAAAGAATCAGCTGTCAGAGCAAAAATTTTGAATCTCTTTGCTGATTTAGGAGAGTTGGATGGAGCTGATGTTTTGGTAAATATAAAATATTTTTTCCTTTTTTTCATCTAACACTAGATATAATTTTATTTAACCAACTAACTGTTGCTGTGTATTTAAATCTAAAAAATTGTGCTTTAAATTGAAATTTTTTATTTAATTTAGAATATAATGGATGAAACTATTGAACACATCAAAAATGAAAAGTCTCATAAAGTCATTGCCCAAGCGTTATCCACTCTATTGCATTTAGGTAAAAATATTCAGTCTCAGCATCTGAAGTTAATTCAAATATCCAAACAGGTATGATTAAACAAATTTTTACTTGAAATTATATTTTTAATTTATGAGTAATGAAATTTTTTTTTTTTTTAATATTTCTTTCAGTTTTTAAAAGACACAAATAACATAGTAAAATGTAAATGTTTAAATTTAATTGGCACTGTGCTTCCGATATGTGATAATAATCAGGATACACTTAAATTGGTAGCAAACTTTTCTTATAGTGAGGATGCAAGAGTTAGAAGTGCTGCGCTAAACACTTTAGTTTTACTTTTTGAAAGAGGACAAAAACTTGATGTTAGTTTTTATCATAAAGCATGCGATGCCTTAAAAGACGATTATGAAATTGTTCGATTATCTGCTCTTAACCTTATTAGTGTATTGTCTCAAACATATGGTGAAGAGTAAGTACAAAAAATATATATATATATGCATTCATTGATTTTATTGCAAATAACTTTTAATACATTAAGTAATAATTTTTAGACCTGTAATGGTGAAGAATGAAACTATTAACTTAATTGATGATGCATTCGTTAAAGTTTGTTTAATGGTGACAGATTTATCGATGAGAGTAAGAACGAATGCAATAACAATGTTAGGAAGCATGAAAAATGTTTCTCCAAAACTGTTACAACAAACATTAGATAAAAAATTAATGTCCAACATGAGAGTAAGTTTGAAAATACTTTTTTATTAATTATGAGTAATAAATAATTGTATGATTAATCAGGGTAATATTTTTTAGCTAAAAATATCAGCTCATGAACGTTCGAAAAACAATGTTACATCTGGTGAATGGTCAATCGGTATGAAATGGACTAATGATGCTCCAAAGGAACTTTTAAAAGCAGAAAATATAAGTCTTATCGCTTCTGGATCTTGTGGTGCACTTGTCCATGGACTCGAAGATGAATTCCAGGGTATGTAATTTAGATTTTGGTTGATTTTTTTCAAAATTTGTATTAAAAAAAAAACTTACTTTTGTATTTCATGCAGAGGTTAGAAGTGCTGGAGTTGATTCTCTTTGTCAGTTATCCTTGGATAATCCAGAATTTGCAATATTATCATTAGATTTTTTAGTAGACATGTTCAATGATGAAATCGAATTGGTGAGATTAAAAGCGATAGAAAGTTTGACAAAAATTAGTTATCATATTATATTGAGAGAGGATCAATTAGAAACCATTTTGGGAGCATTAAAAGTGAGTTTAAATTTTTTTAATGAATATTATTGCCTTTCGAATAATAATAATAATAACATTTTTTTTTTTGTATTTTTCCAGGATTTCTCTTTGGAAGTGAGAGAAGGACTACATAGAATGCTTTCCGCTTGTAGATTGTCAACAAAAGATTGTTTGCAAATGACAGTTGAAAGTTTACTAGATAATTTAAAAAAATATCCACAGGATAAGAAATCAATATTTAAATGTTTTCAAAAAGTCGGTGAAAGACATCCGGAATTAACGTTGCCATTAGTACCGGAATTATTAGCAATTCATCCATTTTTCGATACTCCCGAACCGGATGTCGAAGATCCCCTATGTATCCTTTTCTAAAAAAATCAAAATCAAACTTATTTTTTTAATTATTAATATTTTCTTTAATTTTTTTTTTTTTGTTAATCAGATATATGCGTATTGATATTAATATTCAATGCTGCGAAAAATTGTCCAACTATGGCGGCACTTTTCGAAGAACACACTTTAAAACATTATAGATATCTTAGAGACACCATGTCAAATTTTGTTCCTCATCTTAAAGTAATCAGACATTTTTTCTGAACGTAGATTAATAATAACAACGTTAAATGTAAAAATTAATTAAATTGTTTTTGTTTGTCAACACAGCTCAAACACGACGAAGACAAAATGGAGTTACCATTTGTCGAAACGGGTACCAAAGAATTTCTCACGTCGATAATGAATAATATAAAAAATACTCCGAGCACGAGAGTTCGAATTGAATTGATGAAAGCAGCACAGAAATTTTTAATTGGGATTTCCGAATCTGATGCGAGCATCGGGGGCGCGGCTGTTTTCCTTTCATCGTTCATTAAATGTCAATTGATCATACAGAAAATTCTAGAAGAAAAATTTTCTCCCCTATCCAATCACGAACCCAATTCAGTTTTTAAACTATTACAAATATCGTTACAGTAAGTTTTAAGGTACGAGTCGGAATATTTTCTTTGTAAAAAATTTATTAAGAGATTTCTTTTTTCTTTTCCCCCCCCTCCCCTCCTCTCCTCCCCCTTCCCGCCCGACAGGTTACAGTATTGTTTTACAAATTTAACGGATGTTCAAATAGCCGGAATGAAACAGTTGAAATTGAAAGCTCTCGCGGTTATGTTGGTAAAAGTGGTCAAGGGTAATTCGTCGGCACTTTCTCTCTGTCATTATTTTTTAACGACCGTCGACAACACTCAAAGGCATTTGGCATCGTGTGGGATAGCACCGGAAACGTGGACGAAAAGTCTTTTCAAAGAATTATCCCTGTTGGAGGATAATAAACCGGGAGTCGTGGCGAGAATACTTTTACCCATAATAAATAACATACAACCCTCGCCTCCGCCATCTTGTTTGAATTTCGACGTAAGCATAAATTGTTATTTGATTCTCTCTAGTAACGGAAAATGAAAATAATATGATTTTCCAGACGAAATTTTTCATAATAAAATTTAATTTTTTTTTTTTTTTTCCCACAATTTAAATTTCAGATCGGAATGTGTAAAGCCGTTATATCCGAACCAACGGATGATGCTGACGTCACGATAAAATTTACGGCGGGACTCATCGGCGGGATTCCTTTCGATGCGGAAATCAATTCTCTGTCGAACGTTTCCGTACTGAGAATAAAAATAAAATATCCGGATCAAAACACGATATTAGTTTTACCGAATAAAAACGATTTGAAACCGATAAATAAAAATGAGAAGGAAAACACGGATTATCGTCTTCTCACGACCGTTTTACTATCCCATCAGGTATGGGTATTAAGAAAGTTTTTTTTTTTTAGAAATTGCACCCGTTAGACGCGCTATAATCGATTGAATTTTTCAGGTTTGGACGGAATCCTGTTACGTTGATATAAGTTTAGCATTAGAATTAGCAGGAGAAGAAGGTTTGTTTTCGTTTGGAAATCGTACTCCTCTTCCAATCGAAATCGATCCCTACGTCATTGATATTTGTAAACCCGTTAAGGTATACGTATCGCCAAAACCCGTTAAAAGAGGGATTTAATGTGATGACGTAAACGTTGTATATAAATTAAAATAAAATGATTTATTATTATTATTATTATGATTTTTCGGGTCTTTAAAAAAAAATATAATACATATAGACTGATTTGATTAAATAATAATTTTTTTATTAATTTTTAAAAGATTAATATGTTAATCCATTAGGATTAGGATTAGTATAATAAATATCACACAAAAAAAAAGGATTAAGTTAGTTGGGATTTATTTTGGTTTTAGCTGGTTTTTAAAAACGAAAAAATTATACATTTAAGGAATTTTTTTTTTTAATTTTAATGCTCTTTCGAGTCTTTCCAATTGTCTTCCGGTCGTGTTTTCTCGGTGTTTACATATAAAATAATTTCTCAAAGAACATTCTATTCCTTTATATTTATAATTTTTTATCGTCGGTTGATATGACATTAACAGACATCTTCCATTTCCTTCTATGTTTTTTATACCCGGAGATTGAGTCGTCGTGTTATTTTGTACGGGTTTTGCACTGCTGCTCCAAATCCACAATAATCCCGGATTTAATCCTCCCGTCCAATAATCTTTTCCCCTAGAATTCGAATCCAATTGCAGGGAAGCTTTGACTAAATTTTCATCTTGAACCGTTTCGAATTCAACCAATGTCGATCCGAGATTTCTACATGTCGAACTTGCGGATTTCCAATTGAGTTGTTTTGTCGATACGTGAAAACAACTATTTCCAAAACGGTTAAAATGTTCTGGACACGGATCCATTTTTTCTATTAATAATAATAATAATAAGTTAAACTCTTTTCGATATCGTTTCGCATCATTATTATTAATATCTTACCACTGATTTGCGATTGACTTCCGGCAATAACTTGATAAAGCATTTGTTCTGTACGTTGTAAACGTTTTTCTAAAAAATCTAATCTATAAGCTAATTTTTCAATGGCACCCAATAGAAAAAGATCAGTTTCTGACACGTCATTATTATTAATTGAAATTGGCTGTAATGGCGGCTGCGACGGCGGCGGCGGTTGTTTCGACGGATTATTTATTATGTATCTATCTGGAAAATTGATTGATTGATTGATTATTATTAATAAACTTCCGGTTTATTTTTTTCGTGGGTCATTGTCCGAACATTACCCGTGGCAGAAGATTTCATTATTTTTTCATTTCTTTCAGCTACGCTCGTCCAATTTTCAAGTACCGTATAACCAGGTTCAAAATTTGCTTCTTCTTCTTCTTCTGTCGGAGACGACCATTTTTCTTCTGTCGAGAAATTTTTATACAAACGTCAGTGAAAGTAAGTGAAACAATTATTATTATTATTATTAAGTGACATTAAAATAATTATTTTTTCGGTTAAAATCAATCGACTTACCATCACAAAATATCGTGCCGGAAGTTAATAAAGAACAAATTATTAATAAATAATTAAAAATCATAATTAATAATAATAATAACTTTTGGTGAAAATTCAAAATGAAAATCTTGTTTAACTTAACGCAGTCAAACAAACACAAACACAAACGAATGCATAATTTTTTTTTTTGTCATTTCATATTAGCCCCTTTCACCAAAGTTTTTTTTTTTACATGGAAACATGTAGAATAAAAAGGAAACAACCGACTGGAGAATCTTGTTTGTTGTTTGTCGTAGGCTTTTGAAAACTTGTCTGGAAAATAAAAAAAAATTTTAAACTTTTCAATAGAGAGTAGGGGTATAACATAAAAAGAAAATTAAAACTGGGAGCGTTTGTGTGCGTACCTTAAATTAAATTTTGATCCTTTTCCCCTCCCCCCCCACAGGTATCATCGCGTTTTTCAATGTCAAGGTCATATTAATCTCAAACCACGTGGAATTTTTTTTTTTTTTTGCAAGCTGTAGTTAGTGCTAAAAAACAAAAATTTTCATTTTTCGTGGCTTTAGAAAAATATATTCGCACGTGGGATTTTCCCAATCGTTGGCATCGTTTCGTCAAGTAGCCATTAAAATGTTTGTCTTTCTTAATATTATAATAAATTCTAAGAAATTCCACGCGTAAAAAATATTTCTAAAAGGAAAATGACGGGTACCGTCATGTAATCGACCTAGTAATCAAGTGTGGGCCGTGTGCTTTGTTAAAAAAAGTACTAAGTGAGTTTAATTTATTATTATTATCATTATTATTTTAAAACATGAAAGTTAAAATATTATTTAAATCCTTGAAGAGCTTTTCCAAAACTTTCCCTTTGTTTAAACATTACTATTATTATTATTTTAACGTTTGTCACGTTAAACGAGTAAAAACAATTTTTATTGTTTATTTTTTTTTCTTGTCTTTTCTCTTTCTCTCTCTTGGCTTCGTTTCCATTTTTTTTTCTTTCACGTTTTTATTTATCCTGATATAATTTTTGTAGATCACAAATGTTCCACCCTCGTTGATTTAGGGTTAATAATGATAATTTTTATATTGTTTCTAAATAGTTTTACATTTTCTCTCTCTCTCTCTCTCTTATAATAATACCATCGCGAAAACTAAAACCTAAAAAAAATAATAAACAAGGTTAAAATATATATAAAAAACGTTATTGGCTCAATTATTTCAATATTTTAAAAAATTACAAAAATTTTTAACCGTTTTCCTTAGTCATAGAATAACTTTTGAACATTCACATGGTTTGTGTGTGTATATACGAAGGCCATATAATGAAATCGTATCTTCCCTTTAGGTTATTTAAATTCTTCCAACCTTTCCCCTCTACTACCTCCTACTTTTTACTTAAATAAACCTAAAAAAAAAAAAAATTAAGAAAAATTTTTTACGGTCGAATAAATAAATTATATAATTTGTTAAGAATAAAACGTTAGTTGTTGTTGTAAAAACAAACGTTTCGTAAATTATTATTATTATTATTAATAATAAGAGAAAAAGTTTAAATTGAAATTCGAATACTTTCATCCCATTCTTCAGAACATAAAAAATTGACATTCCGATGCGAAATCATTTCTTTCTACCTGACGTAATTAAAATTATTTAGAACAAAATTCATAAACCAGTCGTAAAAATACTATTGTAATTATTATTATTATTATTGTTGTTAATTAAGGTTTTTAAAATGAGACTGGAGGATGAAAAATATTACGCAATCGATTTCCATGGTGGTTACTGTGAGAAAACCAAACTGGATTGAGAAGTTTTTTGGGCGGAGTCCATCTATATACAGGTTCACCGAGGTCGCGGATTTCAATGACAGGTATGAATGAACGAGTTGTTCCTTTTGAGTAATATTTTATCTGAAAATATTTGGTTTGGTATTGTTTTTTTCAATGTTTTACTTAGTAAATTGTTTCATATAAAAATTCTAGAAATTTAATGTTACCCAGGTAACGCGACAAGTCAACCGCGACAATGCGTGCACCTGGTTAGGGGGGGGGAAAAAAAACCTACCAATGGAGACGACCAAATAACGAAAAAACTTATTTTTTTATTTCATGCATTATAAATTTTATTGTTGTAAATAATGACAGAAAAAGAGGACATTTTCCACATGATAATTTTCCATATAATGATCAATTTTTTATTTCTCTTTGAATTGAATTCTTATAAATAATCTTCATTTTCTATTCATTTCCTACAAAAGAAAAATCATTATTATTATTATTATTATTATTATTATTATTATTTTTAACGAATTGTTAAGCAAACAAGGTTTTAAAGTAATTTGGTACTTATATTGATATTTACCCAAAATTTCCAACGGTTTTTTTTTTTTTGAATATTCAAACCTGTGACTTAAACGAATTTGAAAAAACGTTAAAAACTTGTGTTCGATAAATAATATAATTGAGTAAAATTTAGTAAACGGTCTGATAACCAATAAATGTATTCACGAACCTTAAAAAAAACATAAAAACATTTTACAACGTTGAACATCGAGTCCATTTTTTTTTTTTTGGTTTTGCTTCACAACCAAACATGCTGTTTAAAAATGAAAATCTTTTATTTTACTCAAAGTTTTAAACTTATATGTATATTGATTAACGTGAATCAATTTAATTATTAATGTTTTCTTCGTTCCTTTCTCTTTAATTTAATTAAATTTCGCTACGTTATTAATTTTTTTTGTTGGAAGCCATTTAATTTTATAATTAATGTGCAAACGTATGGAACAATGTTTAACATCAACCTTTAACCTCTTTTAATTATTTAAAATAACTTGTAAAATTGTTTTAATTGACGCCATTGTTAATTAAATTACACATAATTAATTTACGAAAATAAATATCGTACATAAACGTTATTTAAACAAAAAAATTTAATAAAAACTTAAGAACGAATTGAATTTTTGAAAAAAACAGAAAAGAATAACTGACGTATGACGTCACAAACAATTTTTGTCAAATGTTCGACAAATTAATTAAATAACAATTAAAAAAAATTTGTCGCCGACTTTCAAAGGGAGAGAGAAGTTTTTTCATCTCGGGAATCATTACTTGAAAGGTTTTTAAATAATTTCGTTAACGCATTAGAATTCTTTTTAAAATAAAAATAAAAGAAAAAAAAAAAAACTATCCGGTAAAAAAAAAAATCATGTTATCAACAAATTATGTTGAGCCTATGTTTTGCTTACGGCAAGAAATTATTTTATTTACTTTCGAATAATAAAAAAAAAAAAAAAACGAAACAAAGTCGAACGCAATTTTTTTTTTTTTAATCACGATTCGGTCTTTTTACATTTTAACCGTTACACAAGAAGGTTTTTTTTTTTTTTTTTTCGAACTCACTGAATCACACTTCCTTTTTTCATTTACAAAAAAAAAGAAAAAAACGAGAAAAAAACTTATTTTTATTTTTTTAAACGTATTATTAAATATATATTTCTATTTTATTGAAAAAAATAAAGTGCTTTTTCTTTTTTAAAAAACCAACGTATTTCGCGTTTTTTACTAATTTATTTAGTTTAGTTTAAAAAAAAAAAAGTAATAATAATAATATTTTTAGTGTTTTTTTCGAAAGTTGAAATTTTTTTGTGTGTGTGTGTGATATCGTTAGTTCTTCGAAATTGTTTTATTATTAATAATTCATTTTATTTATTTTATTTTTTTCGTGTGTAAATGTTATTATTAAAAAAATTTGGATAACAAAATTATTTCAACCCGGTAAGTTAATTTTTTAACGTTTTTTTTCTACCCCCTCCCCCCCACACAGACACGCAAATACCACCAAATTCGTAATTAATTTTTGAATATTTAAATTAAAAAAACCGTTAAAAAGTAATGGCGGACAATTAAGAACAAAATCACAATAACTATAAATAATTTCACGACAAATAAATTATATTATTACGTAATATTAACTAATAATACCACATAACTATTTTGTTATATTAATAATAATAATAATTAATTTATAAATAAAACAAAAACCGTAGAAAGGGGGGAAAAGGGATGGGGGGGGGTAAACACATAATAAATAATAAAGAAATTGATCGTTACGTGGGAATTGTTGAGGTTTCGTGTAATTAGATAAAATAAATAAAAAAATTTTTTTTTTTTTTTTTTTTTTGATTGACCGCGCCATGTTTTATTACTTATTATTATTATTATTATTTGATAGAAAAATTAAAGAAATCAAGAATACCGCGTCGATGTTGGTTAAATTATTACAACTATTTAAAAAAAAAAAAATAAAAAATGGTTTCCCGCAAAACAGTTAATATGAGTATTATTAATACCAATAATAATAATAATAAGAATCGAGTAAAAGTTACGAACCATTTTTTTTCAAATGGAAACTCCCGCTTTGTTGAGAAATTTCGAAAGGGAAAAAAATGGAAAGAAAGAATTATTGTGAAAACGTATTAAAAAAAAAAAGAAATTTTGAAATTAACCGTTTTTTTTTTTTTTGTCACGAGAATTAATTAAATCAATTAACGTCAAATCCATTTTATTTAAAAAAAAAAAAAAGAAATGGATTATTATTATCGTTGTTATTAATTAAAAAGGATAAAATGGTAACGATGTGACGTCATCAAAATGGCGACCGTATTTAATATTTTTGTTTACCCCTAATAAATTACGTTGTTTATTAATAATAAATAATTATTATAAAATGTCAAAAAAATAAATAATATAGTTATTATTATTCGAATCGACAGGTAATTATTATTACGTCATAAATTAATAATAATAATGATTCGGTGGTAAAAAAAATAAAAAAAAATTTTGAAATCGCGTAGACATTTTTCGTAAAACTTTTATGGCGGGGGGGGGGAGTGTGGGGAAACCGTTACTGTTTAAAAAACAAAAAAAATTCTCGCCATTCATTGATTAAATAAAATCGTTTTGTAAATTTTTTCTTTTATTACGTAATAAATTAATTGTTCGATGTTAATAATAATAATAATAATTTAATTACTTAATAAAACAATAATATAAATTTTCATTTAAAAGTTGCGAAACAAGTTAAAAAACCCATGAAAATTTTATTATTATTATTATCATTATTATTATTATTATTAAAGGATATTTCGGTAATATTACTTACTGTAAATATATATTTTATTGAATGAAAATTGCACGACGGTGAAAAATTCGTTTAAAAAAAAAAATGACCGTTAATAAAAATTTAATAAACCGGAAGCTTTTATTTTCCTTTTAAAGGGGAAAAAAAAAAAAAGAAAAAAACAATGAAAAATGCAAAATCATTTATTATTACAGGGAAAAAAAAGAAAAAAGGAAAATTTTTATCTAATTTATTATAAAAGGGTAAATTTTTTTTTAACAATAACAAAAGAAAATATTGTTCAGTCCGCCATGACAGTTGATGACGATGACGACAACGACACTTTTAAAAAAATTCTGTCAAAATTTTTAAACGCTCTGAATAATTTTTATTATTAATAATAATAATAATAATATTTCATAATTATTTCTTTATTAAGTAAATCACATAAAATTTTTCATTTCTTTTCCGTAATAATAATAATAATAATAATAATATTTATTACGTTACACGTTGCTCCCTTAACTAAAAAAAAAAAAACGTTAAAAAAATTTTTTTTTCAATTTGAAAAATTCACGTTTTTTTTTTTTAAATTAAAAAAGTAATAATAATAATAATTCGAAAGTAATTAAGAATTTGGTAAAAAAAGAAATGATGATGAAAACGAGTAAAATAATAATAATAATAATTATTATTATTATTATAACGAATGAAAGGCGGGGTATTGGTATGAAAATCAAATTTGTAACGGTCAGTGAGTGAATCGAACGCGTTCACGTTTCGTTTTTAATTTAATTTCCCCTCCCCCCGCCTTTGATTATTATTATTATTATTATTATTATTATTATAATTATTTGCAATATTATCGATTAATAAAATTTCGATTTATGTTTGTTGTTGTTGTTGTCGGAGAAAGTTTTAAAACAAAAATTCAAGTTTTGGTTTTTGTAAAAATTATTTTTTATAAAACGAGTAAAATGGAGGAAATGAAAATTTTTTTTGGGGGGTGGGAGGAGAGGGGAGGGGCTGGGAGGGTGTTGTAAAATAGGGTAAAAATTATAAATCATCGGAAAAAAATTTAGGTGTGGTTGTGGTTGTTTATCGTTTTTGTCGTTTATACGTTGTAAAAGATTTATATCTCTCTCTCTCTCTCTCTCTTGCTCTGTCATTCTCTCTCTTTCTCTCTCGCACACACACATATTTATATAGCGGAGGTGTGGGAACTTTGTGTTTTTATTATTAATAATAATAATAATGATAATCTCCCAATAATAATTCAACAACCTTCGAAAACTTAATTTTTTTTCTCGTTTGCCTTCCTTCGTTACGTTTATTAATTTTTTTTTTTTTTTTTCGAATTCGAAAATATTTTTCGTAAGAATTTTATTTATTTCGTTCGATTTATTAATTAATATCTTATTAATAAAATTAATTAATTAAACTCGTGAAAGTTAAAGTAAATTTCGTTCGATAACTTTTATTCGTTCGTGTTTTTACGTAAAAAAAAACAAGTTGTTGTCATGACGTCATTTCCTTTCCCTACGTCGCCATTTTCCTTTTGCTCTCTAGACTAGAAAGAAAGAAAAAAAAAAAAAAACAAATTTTATTTATTTCCGGTTGTTACAGTCAGGTAATCAAAGGAAAATTTTTAAAGAATTGTATAAAAAAAGATGACGAAGGTCGCGTGTGTTATTATTATTATTATTATTAAATCCTTCTTCATCCCTTATTTATATATTCGAAATGAAATTAACCGGAAATCCTTTTTTTTTTTATAAATAAACGACTTTTTGATTACTATTAATAATAATAATAATAATACGTTTTTTTACGAGTGTAATTAAATAAAGAACGGGGTGTAAAATTATGCACGTCTCCTCACGCGAAACGAACTTTTTATTTTTTTTTTTATAAGAAGACATCGGGGGAAAAGATTTTTTTTGTTCGTGGCAGCAGATAAATAAATAATTTAATTACACGTACGCATTTTTTTTTTTTTTCGTATTTTAAAATAAAATTACTTTTATATCGTTTTTTCTTTGTTTTTTTTTTTTTAATTTTACTTACCGGTCGTTAATTTTTTTAAACGACGACTATTTTTTATTATTATT